AGAGAGAGAGAGAGAGGCGGCGATATACACGGAGGGCCGTGGCAAACTCGGCGCCCCTCTCTCCCTCTCCCTCGCCGCATACCAGGACACTCGGCGGCCCCTCTCTCCCTCTCCTAGGAGGCAGATGGGTGGTGGGGTAGAGAGTGTCATGCATTACTGGAGCTGCATTAGGCTCCAGCCTTTCGTGTAGGCGGCCTGAGAGGGTTATGTATAGGTGCGAGGTAGAATGATAAGAAGGTGACTAGGCAGAGACTGGGAAATAGGGGGTAGGATAGATGATGGAACTTTGAAATGTTGCTATTGCAGGTGGGTTGGTTGCTTGGTTTGCTTGTCAAATTGAATGGGTGGGTGGGCTCAAATTAGATTGCCTTTTTCGGTCTGTTTGAATTGCTTGCTTGATTAGATTCATCTGGGTTAATTTACTGTTTTGTTGACGAGTTGTTGGGACAACCTCCCACTGAACCTAAGCCAGGTAATGGACCTGGTAGTCCAGTCTGAGTCGTTCCGGGTTGTTTGTGAGGAGTTCCCGGCCTCATTGGTCTTTTTGTAATGGATTTCCTTGCTTCCCCCCCCCCCGCCCCCCCCCAAAAAAAAACTTGGCGTTGGACTTTGATTTGGTGGGCCCCTTTCGCCTGTTATCCAAACCAGCCTGGATATACCTGGTACTCGTCAGAGCTCCAGGGAGGAAGAGCTGTTGCCTGTCGACCACTAGATTATTTTCTGATTCCAGAATGTCTCTGGCAGGACACACTGGAGGTAAGATCTCACACTGATTACCTGTTGGATCATAAACAGGTCTACCTCTCCTTCTCCTTGGATTCTGCCCCCGAAAGAGGTAAAAGGCTTTTTTCGTCTCAGGGACCCAGGCATCGTCATGTGGGTTAAATCCCTCTATACTGACTGGCAGAGAGTAAACGTCTTTCAAAAAAAAAAAAAAAAAAAAAAAAAAAGGGCGATGGCCTTGAGGTATTATCATCGGACTAACCAGCCCAGGTAAATTCAATATTGTGTCTAATCCAACTGACATCGGGTGGCCTTTTCAGCCCAGGGTGGCCTTGATTGCCTTCAGGGAACCCCCAATGGGGTCCACCGGCCAGGGGACAGCCAGTAGGAGAGGGACCGAGCATCATCTGAGTGGCCAATTGCTGTGCCTCCCCGATTACCCCTCCCCCTATGAACATCAGCAGAGACTGCTTTTTAATGCCAATTGGGGGGAGGACCGGGAAGCCGGATATCTCAAGGCCAACATCTCGAAGTCGTGTCGCACACATGTAGCTCGCCCTAAAATAAAACGGAGAAAATAAAGACGTTGTCAAACCTGTCTGTTTTTGTTTTTTTCTTTTCTTTTCTTGGAAAGCATTTCTCTCAATTTCACCTCACACTACCTACCTACCTGGATTGTATGAACCTGTAGCCAGAACCGTGTTCCTGGCTATGCATACGGGGAACAGTGTTCTCGAGAGAACACGGGGGCTGCTCCCGACCTGCTGCAGGTGGGCGATACCGGCTAGGGGACAGCCCGTACCATGCCAACAGGACCAAGCCTCCACTCAGGTCCCCTCCCCTATGAACAGCAGACTCTGCTAAATGCCAATCGGGGGATCCAGTGGTCTATCTCTAGGTGGCGGGCGCCAAGCATGCCCAGGAAGGTACATGAGGTCAATGGGGATTGAACCCACGACCTCCTGAATGCCACTTGCGAGCCTTACCAACTGAGTTAGGCAGCTGGATGTCTGGTGTGTTGCATTTTCTCCAATCTTTTTTTTTTTTTTTTTGTTTCCTGTTCGCTCTGATGTTTCCTAACGCCGACTGCAAAACGAAGATGTCGGCGTATAGATTTGAGGTTTGACACGTCTTTTGAAAGTTATCGTTCGTCTGTATGGAATATCGAAGCTTTGGCGCCTAAAGTCGTGTGGCACACTCGTTGCTACCGTCCTCCCTGAACAGGGCAAGGTCCCACTTGCGCAAATTAGGAGATTTCGGCCGTTGATCTCTGCTATCTACGGTCAGTATCTCTTAATTCGTGCTAGTGGGACCTGATCATGATGAATGTCTAAAGGGGAGGTTGTGTTGGCGAAGGAGGGACGTTACAACGAAACGACACGACGCTACAATGTGGTGGCGGGAGGCTGATTTGCGGCCGTAGAGATTGTGGGGATCGACGCCGTCGGCGGCCAAAAAACTGGAAACGAGAAACGCGCGAAAGCTGGAGCTGAGCGCCGACTCCCGCCCTGCCCGCGAGCATACGAATCTCTGTTGGTTTTGTGCTTTTGTTTCCCTTTTCTCAGACGAATCTCTCACATGGGTGGGCCTACAGTAGTTGCGCCCGCCACAAGCCAGTCAAAAATCTCGGCGGATGGCGGGTGGTGCAACTACCGCAGTTCCCCCCGCGTTGTCTAAAAAAGGGGAAAACGACGCGGTTTCACGGAAATGGCGGGCGGTAAAGTGCAGTGCGCATTGCGCACTGCGCACGTTTGAGCCCAGGCTGAGGCTGGCGCTGTGGTAGAAAGTTTTCTGTCCAAGAAAGTTTTCCGTATGATTCTGGACGCGGTTTGCGGCCAGATAGGTCCGACAAATAAATCGGAAGAAAAGTCCGTCCTACCCGCCGTAGTAGTGTAAGCAGACGGCGCAGAGACAGCAGAGGAGGCGGAGGGGCTGAACATTAGCACGAAGAAAAGGACGCGGGATAGGGTAGGTTGTTTGGCCCAGGGCCGCGGGAGCGGACAGCAAAGGGCGCAAAAAGTGGAGCGAGCCCTCTGCTCAGCCCTTGCCAGCGCGACTGAAATGACGCGGGGTAGGGGAGGTTGTTTGCCCCAGGGCCGCGGTATAGGGGAGGTTGTTTGCCCCAGGGCTGCGGGAGCGGACGGCGCAGAGACAGCAGAGGAGGCGGAGGGCCTGAAGATCAGCCCTGGCCAGCCCGAATAAAAGGGCGCGGGATAGGGGAGGTAGTTACCTCCAGTGTCGCGGGATGGGGAGGTAGTTTGTTCCAGTGTCGCGGGATAGGGATGTAGTTTGCGCCAGTGTCGCGGGATAGGGATGTAGTTTGCCCCAGTGTCGTGGGATGTACAATATCGAGGAAGGGAGGGAGGGAGGAAGGGAGGAGAGGGAAAGGGAAGGACAGGATAGGAAAGCGTGCGAGTCCTCGGGGGCAAGGGGGAGACGCAACGAAGATAAATCGAGAAACCGAAAGGGTGTGTCTGGGTGTGATTAGCAGCTGATCAGAGCCAAGGGAAGGGATCAGTCGGGATCGATTGATTGATTGATTGATTGATTGAGAGCGGAGACTCCGGAGAGGGGTAGGGCAAGGCAACTGAGAGGTGGAATACATCTCGGAACTGAGGGGGCATGTTCAGACTCGGACTTTTCTGATTGCGCTCTGGACGTGTTTGCGGTCGGATGCGTTCAGGTCTGGCCGTAATTGCTGTCAGATACATTATGGAAAGTGCTAGTGTTAGTGAGTATGCTGTGACAAGTGGAAGGCAGCTGAGAGGCGGGAGAAGTCGAGAGGAGGAGGGAGTGGCAGCTGATCAGAGGAGCGGGAACGGATTGATTGACGGCGAAGAAGAGGTTTGAGTCAAGGCCGTTGAAAAGCGAACGACATCTGAGAGCTGAGAGATGGAAAGAAACTGAGAGGAGGGAGAAGTCTAGGGGCGGAAGAAATCTCACACACACACACACACACACAGAGA